GACCCACTTACCTAATAGCACTAATACCCTTTTAGTTCTCAGCATTCATGTCTGAGGGGCTCACCTTCTACAAGACCCCAGTGCTCTTCCAGCAGTCAAGGATGGAGCCATCTAGTGCCGCCTCCCCCACCCCATTACACCTTTAGACTTTCTGTGTGGCCCCTTTGTGAATATCCCCCAACCAGTTCAGATGAGGTGCCAAGTGCTGCCCCCTCAGTCAGAAGTCTACAATCATGATTCCTCGGGGACTTCCCGGTTTAGCTCCCAGTGCTGGTCTGTTGCACTCCCTCGTGGTTTGCCCCACGTGGGCAAGTCAGACCAGCTGCACTCCCCAGACTGTATCTTCAGTGCTGTCCTCCATCGCGCTGTCATCTAAGGAGGGGACGTCATATTTTCAACCGAGGTCGGCCCTGCAGTCCTCTCTCTGAACAAGTTGCTCGGAGCAAGAACCCACCCTCAAGGCTTGGCGCACCAGAATGAGGTCTGCTCTCTTTCTCCCTTTCCTGTGGAGACATAAAAATACCCTCCCCGGCGTGCTCCCCCCATCCTCTGTGGGCCGTGAAGGCATAGGGGTGGGGGTGGGATTTGAAAATTTCTTTCTGAAGAGGTGCTATTTGCATCTCTTTAATTTTTTTCTTTTCTTTCTTTTTTTTATAATGTATGCGTCATTGTGTTTGGCCTGGCTCTGGCGAGTACCTGGCCCTCAGCCTGGGAACTGTGCAGTAGGTACATTTTCCCCTATGCTTATTCTGCTGTTTGAACTGGACGCACGTTGTACTTGTCCTTTTGTGCTTGGCTAACTTTGCTCAGCATAATATCCTCCAACTTTTTCCACAAGACGAGGTGATTCATCATTTCATCACTATTTTTAGGGATGCATAGTACTCCATTGTGCATATATATTAGAGCTTTAAAATAAAAAAAAAAATTTTATTGGGGGCTCATACAACTCATCACAATCCATCCATCCATCCATTGTGTCAAGCACATTTGTAGATTTGTTGCCATCATCATTTTCAAAACATTTTCTTTCTACTTGAATCCTTGTATACCAGAGCTTTTTAATCCATTCGTCTATTGATGGAAATTTAGGCTGTTTCCAATTCTTTGCCAGTGTGAACTGTGCAGCGATGAACACTGGAGTGCAGATGTCTGGATATGGCCGCTGCTTATTTCTTCGGGTATATGCCCAGTAGTGGAATTGCTGGGCCAGAAGGTAACTCCATCTGCTTTAGGTATCACCAAATTGCTTTGCACAGTGGCTGTGCATATCTACAAGCCCATCAGCAGTGAGACGAGTTCCTATCTCCCCAGAGCCTCTCCAACATTTGTTGCTTTCTGTACTTTAGAATTGTGCTATCCTTGTGAGTGTTGGGTGGTATCTCATGGCTGCTTTGGTGTGCATTTACCAGATAGCTAATGATCAGGGACATTTTCTCATATGTTTATTGACCCACTCGGATTTCCTCTGTGCAACTTCTGTTCAAGTCTTTTGCCCACCCCTTCAATGGGCTATTTTTTTCTTATTGTAAGGTTGCAGGGTTCTGTAGATTTAAGTAATAAGGCCTTTGTCTTATATTTCATTGCTAAATATTTTTTCCCAGTCTGTGGGCTCTCCCATTACTCTTTTGATGAAGTCATTCAGTGCACACAAGTGTTTTTATCTCTAGTATGTCTCACATGTCTGTTTTATCTTCCTTGAGTGTTGATCCTTCATTATTGCTGATAGACCAGGTATTCCTTGCACTAAGGTTCTTAGCTTTGTCCCTATTTTTTCATTGATAATCCTGATAGTTTTGGTTTTTACCTCGAGGTCTGTGATCCACCTTGAATTTGTCTTTGTGTATAGGGTGAGGTAAAGGTCTTGCTTCATTCTTCTGCAGGTTGATATCCAGTTTTTCCAGCACCATTTATTAAAAAGGGCATCTGCTTCCCATTTGATTTGGGGGTGGAGGGCTTATCAAAGATCAGTTGTATGTATTCTGCTGGGTTTTTTTAATTGGATTTTCTGTTCTTAACCATTGGTCCAAGTATCTATCATTATACTGGTATCATGCTGTTTTGACACATGTTGCTGTGTTTGTCTAGGCAGACTAGAGAAACAAATTCATAGGTACACATATGTGGGTAAGAAAGAGGCTTATTTACAAGAGTAGTAGGATATTGAGAAAACATCCCAGCCCAGTCCAGATCAAGTCCCTAAATCCAATATTAGCCCCTATGTCCAATACCAATCTTTAAAGTCCTCTTCAAACTGACAAAACACATGCAATGATGCAGAATGTAGGATGATCACAGGCCAGTGGGTAGAAAGTCTTTGGATCCTGTAAGCATCTCAGTGCTGGCAGGGGTCTCTACATGGCTTCTCCAGCTTCAGAGGTCTGGTTGCATTAGGGCAGGTCCATGTGGCTTCTCCAGTTCAGGGCAATAGAGTAGTTCCATGTGTCTTGTCAGCTGC